GTTTGGTTTGGTTTGGTTTGGATAAAATAAATTATTAAATTTGGGAAAGGGAATCGGCGGTGGTCATGTGAGAGAAGGGGTGGGAGTGGGGTTCACTTTCACTGCGTTATAGAAATTAGAATAGAATCTTCTTGGCTCCTCAACGTGTATGGAGTTTCTTTTGTTTGTGTGATATTTGGTGGTGGTGGGATCGGTAGGATCTGTCCAAGTTGCTGACAACTTGTGAGAGAGAAAAAAAGATCAGACCTTTGTTCCTCTAGATTTCCATACTCTCTACGGGCCCCCTTTCTTCTCCAATCCAAACAAAAGTCCTTTACAAAAGATTTCACCCTTCTTCCTGTTCATCAACTGTTGATGTTCATCCACATCTATGACATTGGACCCACCATTTTGATAATTACATGATTATAGGTCAATCAAGCGAGGTAATTAAGCACCAATGATAAAGTAGTAGAGCAGTACTGTTGGTTTTTGATTATATGTTAGAATCAGATACAGTAATGCATAGCAACTTTTTTTTAAAAAAAAAAATCTTTAACAGAATTATTTAGTACAATTTAAATTATATTATTTATTTAAAAAAATTTAAATTATATTAAATTAATTTTTGAGTAAAAAATGCACCTTTAACATTGAGAGTATCTCTTATTTAAGGATTCTTTTCTTACTCTATCAAACAATTTTTTTTTATAATTTAATAAAATTAAAATTATAAAATAAAAAATTCAATCTTTAATCAAATAGGCTGTTCATGTCTGAATAAAAAAAATTCATAAAAATATAACTCTTTGTTTAATTTTCACAAAGAATCAAATTAGTCCACCAGCTAGTCTACTGCTGTCTGAAAGTTACTATTTTACCTTGTGGGTGTAAGAGAAAACCAAAATTTTCAAAGGATAAAAGGGAGATGATCAAAATTAATGGGGGTAATTAATTTGGTTGCCATTATAGGCGTGTAAAGATTAAATTCGGAAGAGAAGAAGGGGCAGGAAGCAAGAACATTAGGCGTGAAGTACTAATAATAATGAGGGGGAAGGAAACATCTAGAGATTGATGTTTGGGGGTTGGGGAATTATTCCCAGAAATATGCATGTAACATGAATAAGGGAATTGAGGGGAAGAAATCTAAACATGATACGGAGGGAAAAAAACAAAACAGGAATCACGAGAATGGCATAGACTGTCCAGCATTTCAGAAGAACCCATCAAAAATTATAAAAGGAGACTGTCCCCATGTCAGCCGCTGCAACAATAGTACTACAATATACTACACCACTCTGCTACAGCAAAGGCCAAGGGGTGTGAACTTTACTAGAAGGACAATTAAGAAAGCATTAGAGAGAGAAAGAGGCAAAAAATGATTTTAGGTACTTACTCCTTCTTATATAATTTTTAATGTTAATTAATATAAAAACTATATATTAATTAAAATTTTAATTTATATATAAAAATTATAAAATAGAAAAACTTTTAATTATATGCAACATAAAAGTTTCAAATATATTATTAATTGTTCATTTTCAAATTTAATAGTTGAATGAGATAGAAAGTAATGATTCTATATTTAGTAGGAGTAACATAACTTAAACCCATTGAACTTGATAATTTAATTCCCTAATATTTATTATTTTTTAGAATTTTAGATAAGTCGAAATTTTCATCTTCCATTTTCTAGGGAGAAAAGTCTAGGAAAAAGAAAAGACACGCAATGTCTTGTTTAGTAAGATTGGATTAGTAGTCATAGGATAAGGGAAGAGTCCCAAGGAAATGTGAAGATGGGGGGAATTATATGGAGGTGGGGAACATGGCGGTTTTAAATTTGTTTTTCCAATAATGAGAATCATAGACATAATCAAAATAATCAGTTGAGTATCTCTTTGAAATAATTAGTAATCATTTTCCTATTCTTTCACTTTGCACCTCCTCATGTCCCTACCCCCCTCTCCCCTCACTCATCACCAAATCAACCCATTTCCCACCTTTTCTTCAATAAGCTTCCATGCAAATCTTCAAAATTTTACCCTATCAATTTTCTTTTTCTTTTTCCAAAATTCTCAATAATTTATTTTCAAATATGAAAAAAATATTTTATTCAATTGTTAGAGAGAATACAAAGAAAGAAAAGGTGCTGAAAAATTTAAGATTTGGAAACTTTTGAGGGCAATAATTCAATCACCTGAGTGAGGATGATAAAGAGCCAAAGTAGGATAGCTAGCCAAAGGGCCTACTGCACAGTGTATAAAATTGTAAGATAGCCAGTAAAGTTAGTAGTGGCCAGAGAGCATGTCCAAATGGTATTGAAGTTTGGAATATTTATTTATAATTATTTGAGAAAGAAAGGAAGAAGAGAAGAAGAGAAGAGAAGAAGAAGAAGAAGAAGAAGAAATGTCGTCACCAACAGGCTTTAAATCCCATCACGTAGTTCGATGTATCCTTTACCTTATATATCTGCTACTGCACTAGTAGAAAATGATGGGATTCGAAATAGGGTGAGAGTGTTGCGTTGGTGCCTATTAAACAACAAACGGAAAGCTACAAAATGAAAAGAGGACACTCGTTTGACGTGAACTCAATGCCACCACCTTCCACTCCTTATGGTTCTAGTACATATTTCATTTCTTTTTTTTTTTTTTTTTTTTTTTCACCCCATATCAACCCTTTCTCCTCTTGCCAAAATACCCATCACGCCACAATTAATGCACATTTTTGTACAATTGTACTAGCTTCATAAAGTCACTAAATCAAAATTACCGCAAAAGAAGTTTTAGACACTGGTTATTGGTATAATTAACTCAAATGAATATTATTATCTGCTAACAATGAGAGTCGAACCTAAATACAGATAGGTAAAATATCTAATTTTTATCAATTAACCCAATCCTCATTAACAAAAGTGTTTCATTGAATCAAATTTTAGCTTAATTATATGTGATAAAAGTTTATGATAGAAGTTAAATTAAAATCTAAATGGAGTCTAAACGCATGATTATTTAAGATTTGGTAAAAACACAAAAAGTAAGAAAGAAGAGAAGGGTTGGATTGTCAATTCAAAAAGACAGACTGCAGCATCTGATTTTTAAGTGGGTGTGCGCGGGATCGATTGTCAGGGAGAGAGAGAAAGGGAGAGTGTCACGGGTTTGTCTTGAAAGACCCTTATTTCACAGTCCTAGACATACAGACACATATTCTCTCTCACTACATAACCGAGGACGGAAACAAATTTATATTACTCATTCCATAAACAACATTAATATTACTGAAACAGCAAAACCCCTCCTTATTATTATTATTTTTTTTCTTTTTATAAAAAACAACCGCAGTACCACACTCTGCACAGTTCCAACAACCTCTCCTTTTCCATCATTTTAATCCCAACCCACATTCACCCTCTCCTCCTTAGTTCATTCACCCATCTCCACTTTTCTCCCTCTCCTCTTCCTCTTTGATCTCCCATGGCTCTCATGCTAGACAATTGTGAGGGTATATTGCTGTCTCTTGACTCTCACAAATCGGTCCCGGCGCCGTTCCTTACTAAAACCTATCAACTGGTCGACGATCCCACCACCGACCACATCGTTTCTTGGGGTGAAGACGACACCACTTTTGTTGTCTGGAGACCTCCTGAGTTTGCTCGCGATCTCCTCCCCAACTACTTCAAGCACAACAACTTCTCCAGTTTTGTACGACAGCTCAACACCTATGTATGTACCTAATATCTGCGATTAGAAAGACCCTTTTTTTTTTTTCTTAAAAATTTTTCTCATGATGATGTGGGTTTTCTGGGTTTTGTTTTTTGGGTTTTAGGGTTTTAGGAAGATTGTCCCTGACAGATGGGAATTTGCGAACGAGTTCTTCAAGAAGGGGGAGAAGCATTTACTCTGTGAGATCCATAGAAGGAAAACTGCGCAGCAACAGGTGGCCATAAACCATCACCAACACTCTCTCCCACATGCTTCTCTTGTTAATGCCCCGAGTTTCTTTCCGTTTTCTAGCCGAGTCAGTATCTCTCCAGCTGACTCGGACGAGCAAGCAGCCTGGTGTGACTCGCCCCCACTTTCCTCCCCAAAGTCAGGAGTCTCGGTCATTGCCAACGGCGGTGGCGGCTGTGTCTATACCACGTCGGTCACGGCTTTATCCGAAGATAATGAGAGGCTAAGGAAAAGCAACAGCTTGCTCATGTCAGAGCTGGCACACATGAAGAAGCTATACAATGATATTATCTACTTTGTTCAAAACCATGTCAAGCCCGTGCCACCTAGCAATACCTACGCTTCTTCCTTGCTTCTTTGCAACCCACCCTCTTCCGCCACTCCTCTTGGTAACACTAACAGTTCATTGTTGCAAAAGCCCTTAAACCAGCTCCTTGGGTACTACCCCAAGCAAGCTCCTCAAGTTCATGTTTTAAACTCTTCTACCAATAGTACATCACAGAACTCGGTGACAATCCTCGAAGAACCCACAACCAAAACCAAGCTCTTTGGTGTGCCTTTACAATCAAAGAAAAGGTTGCACCCAGAGTATGCTTCTGGTCCCGGAAACATGGAGACTAACAAGACCCGTTTGGTTTTGGAAAAGGATGATCTAGGGTTGAATCTCATGCCTCCTTCCACTTGTTAGTTTTTTTTACATCCAATCTTAGCTTCTCTCTTTCTTTTTAGTTTTTGTTTGATTGTGTTGTTATATTTAGAGTTGGATCGATGAAGCTGTAAGCGTGAGTCAGTGAGCGGTTGTATATATAATTTTAGTAGTAGTAAGTACCGCCTGCGGTTATTATCTCTTGTTCCCAAGAATGCAGGTGGGTTTTGTGTTAGAGTGAAGATCAAACCAAGTTATTTTAAACTCTCAACATTGACCAATCTTTTGCTTTGATATGCTCTTCTTTTTTCTTTATCTTCATTTAATGTCTTTGGTTTCAGCAGTAGTACTGCATTTTCCAGTTTTGAGCTTGCATTAATACCGATGGAGAAAAAGCTGATGAGTAAGTTTGACAACATCTCTCGAGCTTTGTTTTCTCTGATTAGGCCATTAATGGTATTCCCACGTACTACTTACAAACATGCTTTGCTTCTTTCTCCAGAATTCAAAACCCGATGAGAAAATTTTTTTTAAGAAAAAGGCAGCTGACATTCGTTTCTCAAGAAAACCTTAATTATATCATCATTATATTATCATCAAATATGAAATCATAGTATGATTTAGAAAAGCTGTTAATTATTGTAATCTTTAATAGTATAATTATTTATTTATTTATTTATTTTTTTCTCGTTTGGATGGACTGTCAGTCACACGCAAGAGAAGAGAACAAATTCTGATTCTTGAGTTTGAATTTGTGAAGAGAAAATTATATAAAAAAACAAAATGGTGGGTTATTCGATGACAGCGAAATGTAAGAAAAAAAACTGACTAGAAATGTAGTTTGAGATGTTTCTATCAAGGCTTCTATACTTCTTCTTCTTCTTCTTCTTCGGACCAGAAACCTTTGCCTTTTCCTACTTTAAGTATCTGTTCATTTTCTTCAACAAACAACCCTCTCTTTGGATCCCTCTTTCCTTTCAACTAATTTTAATTTATCTTTTTTTTTTCTTCTTCTTCTTCAACAGAAAGAAAGAACCTTGACTGGTAGCTAAGCAAAGCAATTTCCCAAAAGCCCATCTCTTTTTGTGAAATCCCTATACAAAGTAAAGTTTGACCAAGAAATTTCAACAGGTTTTGCTTTTTCTCTGTATTTTTGATGCGCTAGTTATTAAATACCTACTACTACCAAAGACAGAGGAAGTCCATGAGACAGATGAAAGTAATTTGAGAAGCATCCTTTTAGGACAAAGTGGTAATATTTAGAATTCTTAGAAAATCTTTGTCGTGCAATGATGCCAAAGAAACCCTAACTCTAAACCCTAGCTAGCTACTTTGACACCATACATGTGTCTGTTTATCACGTCTGGACACATCCATAACCTTTTGTCCTTTTCTCATGGCGGGGCATGGCATGGCACGTGATGGTGTGGAAACGCACGTGTGATGTGGAAATGGAAGGGAATAGCCTGAATAGGGATACGTCGGGTCCAAGACCAAGGTCCATGGATAAGAAAAGACGGGTGATGGGTCTTAAAAGTGGACTACGGATCATCCCGTAAAGATACTTTAGGAACAGGGGTTTGGTTTCTTGATGCTTAACAGCCGGATTTTATTGGGCCACGAAATGGTTTCTTTCCTCTTTCTGTTTTTCTTTTCCTTTTTTTTTTTAAAGAGAAATATGAATTTTAAAAAGAGATTGAGCTAAGAAAATTGTTTCTTCTTCTACATCTTTTGTTGTCTTTTTTTTTAAAGTACTTTGTTGACGTTTCGTCACATTTTTTTCTTTGGTAGAAATGCTTTCTTGACAACTAACGCATTTACTTAAAAATTATAATAAAGCAAAAAAAAAAAAAATGTAGTTCATAAAAAAGTGCAAGTAGTGTGGGGATTGAAGGAGCGTTAAGGCTGCAAAGATGGAATGTATCCCATTTGTTTTTCGGGCTCTATTTTCACAATCTCTGCCTCTAATGAGTGGTGAGGCCACCACGTACAGTTGTACGGGCATGCAAGCTGGCTAACTTTGTTAGGAAAAACTGAAAAAGTTTAATTAACATTAAAAAAAAAAAGGTGCAAAATCGCTGTCAATTGTTTCCTAGACTCACCTAATTGCACTAGTTAAAAAATGAAAAATTATCAAATTTAGCTCTTAAATTAGTGAAAGCTAAAAAAGAAGAGACGTACAACTTTGAGATTAGGACTTAAAGATTTTAGGTCATAGGTTCGAATTTTATGACTAGTGTAGTGGAAGGCGACTTTAGATGCATAAAACAATAACTTGGTTTCATCCTTGTGGTTAGAGAATCATACCACCTATGTCAGATTTCTAACATGTCAAGGTTCGAATCTTGGTAATGTTCTCGTTATCATTCCAACCGAAGACTTTAGATGTATAAAAAACCGTAGTAATTACCATTCATATGCATATATATTTTTTTAATTGATTCAAATCCACATGGATAAAAAATGATAGGAGTAATTAATTAATTAATTGATTTTGCCTACGTGGATTCCAATATTTGCCGGTTGGATGATCTTTTCGTTACAAAAAGAATGATATTCGTCAATTCTAATTAGAAGAATAATTAAGAGACAGTTTTTTTATATAAATTTTTATATAATTTTATATGTTATCTAACTTTGTTTGATAACTTATTTTTAAAATATTTAATAACTAACGGACTAAATTGCAATTATTTATTTTCTTGTGACGCATCAAAGTCAGCCACATTTCTTTCAACTAGCGCACCAGTTACCCCAGTTAAGTATGGGTTAATTAAATTTGCTGTATTTCATTAAGTTGAAGGGCTTATTTAATTAGGTTTTTAATTTTGGGGTTTGTCAGCTGAAATGGGGTAAGTTGAGGGTTTTAAGGAATAGTTTTGCCAATAAGTTTTGTTAAGTTCGGCCAGAGTTTCTTTCCCTGTTTGGGGTCATAGCCCACAGGAGATTGAAATCGGACTTTGGAGCCCGAAAGAGTCCTTTACGTGGGCTTTGGTTTTTAGCTTGGATTTCGAAGACACCTCAGGCTCGTACCCATTCAGGGCCAATCAAAGTACCCATCGCCGGATATCGTAAAAGAATGAACACAACCCAACCCAATTGACTTGGTTCCGTTGGGCAAAAAAAAAAAAAAAAAAAAGACAGTGTTGCCTCTGTCAAAATTTGCCGTTGGAAGTTTTGTTTTTTTACTTTTGTTATTTAAAATTGTAGCTTTAATTTGAGACCAATGAAGAAGGAATTTGTGAAAAAGGAAAATTATGGCTATAATTTTTTTTTTCAAAAATTTTCTAATATGTGCATGGCATAAGTTAAATGTATAATTAATGTGTTTTTTTATAATTAATTTATATTAAAAGTGTAAATATTGACTTTAGTCTAATCATCAAAATGCCAGTAGTATTAAAATAAAAGTCAACTTTCATAATTTTGATATGAATTAATTACAAAATTATATATTTATTGTACCTTTAACATGTATTTATATGTTATAAAAACCTTTTTATTTAATTTACTAGTAAAAATTAAGATTAATTTATATTAATATAAGTGTTACAACAATTCTCAATCACTAATGTCAAATTTTCAACAATTAACAAGAAAATTGAATTTTTAAAATAACTTTTTAAATTTTAAAATGCATGATTAAAAATTAATGCAATAGTTTCTTAAATTTACATAAGTGTAATTTAATCTGTGCCTTCTTTTTTTTTTTTAATGATCCCAACTTATTTATTAAATATGTTTATTTTAATCTTTCATCACTAAAATTTTAGAAGAGAGTTGCTCCTGCATTGCTTTATTTTAGAAGCAACAATATATAAACTCCTTTAACTGCTGCAATAATGGTTAGAGCTTGGTGCAATATATTCCACCCATTAGCAGACCCACAACGGGCCTCCAAAATCCGGCAAAAACCTGGTTTAGCCCTTCATCTTACCAAGTTTAAAGGTTTTAGTCTCTCACCTTATATTATTACACTTTTTACCCTTAATTTTCTAGATTTGTAGGTTTTAACCACTCACCTATTAAAATCGAAAAAAATAACATTCGCTTTATACTGATAGTTAACTCTGTTAGCTGAAAGTAGGTTTTTATCAACTAACAGTCAATTAATAGTCAGTTAATAGAATTAATAAAATATTATAAAATTAGTTCTGTTAACTCTATTAACTGAAAAAAGATTTTTGTCAACTAACAGTCAAATAATAGAATTAACAGTCAGTTAACAGAATTAACAAAATGTCACAAAATAAGGGTTATTTTCTTCAATTTTAATAGGTGATAAGCTAAAAATGTTATAGTATAAGATGTGGGGTTAAAATTTATAAATCTAGTAAAATAAGAAATTAAAAGTATCATAATATAAGGTAAATGGTTAAAACTTTAAAATTTGATAAGGTAAAAGGTTAAAATTAAATTTTTACCACAAAATCCTAGGTGAAATGGCTGAGAAGCAATGTCCTCCGGTTTTTACTATCAAATTGTGTGCATCGCGCTTTGATCGTTACTAGTACGGATATGGCCAAAGAATGCCTCAATACCAACGACAGAGAGCCTTTGCTTTATCCTCACTATATATCTCAACTTACATAGTCTTAGTCTTGTACTCTCTTCTCTTTGTCAATTCCTCAACGTGACAGCAGCATATGGGCTCAAAACAATTACTAACACAATATATCAATTTGCCTAAGATATTTTTGTGGACCCATATACATTTAAAATTTCCTGCAATTTTGCCTAATATCGCTGGAGGACCATACAACCTAGGTCTTAGCATACGCACCCATTTGAATTCCACCAATTTGCATTAGTTAATAGAGTATCTTTTATAAGATGTTTTTAATTTGGCTGATATTATCAATTTATTATTATTATTATTTTTATTTTGGTTGTATAATGAGAGACAATTATTTCTTATCTCTTATTTTATTTCACTCGTATGCTATGCGACTCAATTTCAGAGTCTGTTACTTTTAGCGAAAAGATATGATTACTGAATTATTTAAGTTATTGGTAATTTATTATTCTTTTAAATAACTTATTTAGATGTTT